CTGACCAATCACAATGAGCATCAGGATGAGGATGTAAGATGAGTTCTGATGAAGTTGAAATCAGTTTTTTTGTGTATATTTAGCACTCTGCATGCACATGCTTGCACACGCACACTGTCTCTCTCTCTCACACACACACACACACACACAAACACACACACCTACAGTGGAATGAATCTGATCCACTCTTTTGATATGTGCTGTTGTAAATTTTAAGAAGCACACAGCAGGTCTGTTCAGTGACTCTCTTGCAGTCGTTCTCCAGAAACACACTTCCTCTTTCATTTTTTTTTATCTTGTTAATATTATTTTTTAAAACTTGTGTCACGTCAGTCTTCTATGTGAGCTCCTTCTCTACTTCTCCCCCGTACATGTAGGAGTTATATCCGGGCGGCTGCACATACTCCTCAGACTTATCCCAGTCTGTCACCCATCCTGACCCTGCTCCACCTCCTCCTCCTCCTCCACCGTTGAAACCAGCCCCTGATTGGCTTATGGCTCCGTACTGCCCCCCTCCGCGGTACATCTCTTCTGTTTCATTGGCCAGTTCATCCTCGTCGATTATACCGCACTTCTCCTCACTTGTGTCCTCTATGTCTGCCCAAGGCTGCTTTTCTCCTGATGCAAAGAGTCCTAGTGAAGAAAAAAACAGATCAGCAATGAAACTGCGATATTTTAGAGATGCGTTGCAAAACACTGCAGAGCCAAAGTCCTACCATAGAAAACCACTCCTCCATAATGAACAAGTGAGGCTATAAGGAAGACGTACTGCCACTCCTCACGCGTCTGAAATGATTCAAAAGGTATTTTAACACAAGAAAGAGCAAGAACAAGTCTCCCTGGTGTGTCTTTACTCATTAAACATCTTGAGCTTTATGCTCAGCTTTGTTGATACACGTGAATGAGTCACCTTGTGTTTGGTCATGGCACCAACTATGAGAGGACACACCATTCCAGATAACGTTCCCACTCCGTTTGAAATGCCCATCAGTATGCTGGCATATCGAGGCGCGATATCCAAGTGATTGACATTAAACCCTGAGTGAAAGAGCAAAAACACAGAATGATTTTTACACTTAGGGAATAGAAAAAGTGATATAATTTTTTTAAAACACATTTTCATCTTAACGACATTCACTTCAAACAGTTTTATAAGATAATGATCTAATATCTGTCTGTGTGTGAAATATAAAGCCATTTCCAGGGAGTAGCGGGCACAGCTTGTCATCCACAAACCAACTGGGGATGCCATGGCAGCTATGTCCATCTTTGATATACAGTCTATGCTGCCAATGAAAACACTACAGCTGACTGACAGACTCATGTTTGCAAATTAGGTCACATTTTAAAGTCCTATCAATGTCAAGTGTTATTCTCACTATGTAGCTTTATTGTAATCAAACTGTCAAAACTCATTAATTTTGATTGGTAAATTTACCATTAAACAAACTTAATACCCTTCCCTGTACCCTAGCTAACTAATATGGCAAATTCATTTACAGTCATGTAAATTGGAACATTTTTAACAGGATTTTATAATACTGTGAAAACCTTCAGAAGCAACAACCTGAAAATTTTCAGCCATTCTGTTGCAGATTTTCTGTTCATTGTCCTGTTGCATGACACAATTTTAGCCAAGCTTCATCTATCAAACAGATGGCCCCAAATTTCACTCTGTACACTTTGTTATACAGAGGAGCTTGTGGTTGACTCTATGACTGCAAAGTTCCCAGGTGCTGTGACTATAAAACAATGGCTGGGATGACTAAAGGGGAGATGACACACAACAAAATTAAATAAACCATTGTGCAGATTTCTTTGTTTTTAAATATTGTTAGAAACATTTGGTAAAATGTAAGTAGGGAAACACATGTCAACAGAATCTAGAAAATGTGTCATTTTCATACTTTTAAGTTAAAACTTTAACGGGAACCAGTTTAGCTCAGTGGTTGAGCAGGTTATCACACCCCACGAGGCCTGGGTTCGATTCTGACCCTTGGTCCTTTGCAGTGTGTCTGCCCTGTTCTCTTTGTCCCTGCTTTCCAGTCTCCTCCTCACTTATAACTATCCAAAACATTTGATTTACCGCTGTCCTGCTCACATTTAAAGCAATACTTAAAATTCCATTGTCTCTCATTAAACCTTACTATCACCTTCATGCAGCAACAGTAACACGACAAGTCAGGTTTTCACCTTACATGTTTAGAACATAGATTACCTGAGATAGCAAATCCACTGAATCCCACCGCCAGGACCAAGAAGGAGATGGCAATACCCTTTGTGTGAGAGTAGCCCACCACCAGCAGGAGGGTGGCTTCCATCCCAAAACCTGTGGGAATTCCAAAGAAATCCACATCAACACAAAGGAATTACGAACACTAATAACAAACCCTGTTGTAACGGTCAAGGCAGTGCCGATATGCCGTAATTTTCAGTGTTTGAAGCTGTACACGTGTTTATGCACACGCTGATTCAACCTTTAAGTTGAAATATTAAGAAATATTAATTTGCTTCTAATGCTGGCAGCTATACTGCACTTTAAATATTCTAACTGCAAGCTGCTAAATGCCCCACAACTGACAGCATAGTTTCATATGTTTAATTTTAGGAGAACTACAGCATCATTAATAAGTTCATCTTTACACATTTATTTATTTATTTTTGCAGTGCTCCTAATTTAGCTTTAATCACTGTGATATGTGAGAAAGTACTGAAAGAATTGTTTAACTTTTTGCAGCGATTTCAGCAGCAAAAATGAAATTATTACAATTTCCAGCTAATGATAGGATGAAGTTTTAGTGAAATAATAATTTGTCAGTTTTCTGAGCCACGGTCTAAAGATATTTAAGAGCAGTTGGTTCGTAGACCTTGGTGCTCTGGGAGGAGTGTCAGATGACAATTGTAGAGGCAGAGAATTATGGTACCCTCATACTCATTTAATAGGCTCTGTTGGCCAACTAAGACGGTTCACCAGAGCTGTATAGAGTTATTTCGTTTCTGCTCATAAACCACAAGCCATGCTCTTATGTTTGATAGCCTCACCTCCACAGTTCATGAGCTTCCTGACGTTGGTGGTGGACATCAGGTTGTGGGTTCTCAAGTAGTCAGCCAACTGGCCCCCAATAGGCACGATGATTGTCATCACCAGATGGGGCAAAGCTGACACTATGCCCACCTGAAAGTCATGTATAGGAGAGGCAGACAGTGTGTACATGTGCGTGAAAAAGGCAAAAATAGTGTTTTTGGGGGGAAAATGAAGGGAGGATGAGGATGAGATGTTCAAATTTGTCCTGACCAAGTGGGAAAATTACTGTTTTACTTGCTTTGACCCTACAGCTTGGATGCCATGCTAACTCACCTTGCTGATCTCAAAGCCAAAGACTTCTTCAAAGTAGGCCGGCTGGCTGATGAGCAGCAGGTAGAAGGTCCAGCTCCTGCAGAAGTTGGCCACAATAATGGCATAGACTGGCATGGAGGTGAAGAAGTGTCTCCACGGGGTTTTAAATTTCTACCACAAAAAGTAATAAGATATTAATGATATGCACCAACTCCACCAATTAAGAACTGCAGACTCAGCCAAGTGCATGGGTCTAAATACACGTACTTGAAGGGGATTGAGAAATGATGCAGACTCTCCGATCGCATCTTCAATGTATTTCCTCTCCTCTGGTGAGATGGTGGGATGGGCTGCAGGACTCTCGTATGACACCAGAATCCAAAACAAATACCAGAATATCCCAAAGCTGCCTGGGAGAGGGAGAGAGAGAAAGAAAGACACAGACATAGGAGACAGAGAGAACATTTAAGAGAGAACGAGAATGAAAAGGAGTTGTGGAAATTTAAAGAGAATCAAATAGTGGACGTTTAGGGAAATTTGCATGAGCAGTCTTGGTGAGAAAGATAGTAATAAAAGTAACATGACACATATTTGTGGATGAGGGTACTAACCATAGACATAAAATACAGAAGGCCACCCAGTGTATTGCACTAGTATCCCAGCTAAAGGCATGGCCACCACTGCCCCAGCATAGGATCCTGTTAAGACAACACACACACAAAGAAGGCACAAACCCTGTTTATATCTTTCTTTCTTGCACTCAACGTGTTTTAGATGCATCATAGTCTTTTTAAACTCTTAAACGTTGGATGCACTTCTAGCAGTTTCATCACAAACGTGTCTTCAAACCCACAGAACCTGTGCAGACATTGTAGATACTGATCTGTGAGGTGACAGGAAGCTGACATTACCACAAAAAGCTGTCGTGGCTAATCGACTTCGCTCAAGAGGAGGTGCCCACTTGGCCCAGATCCCATGACAGGCTGGGTATGATACGCCCTAAAGGATAGAATACGGTCAGGGAAACACCTGTGCATGTGGGAATAGTCCTACACAGAGTCCAGATGTGGACAAAAACTCATATTTACCTCTACAAGGCCCTGGCATATCCTGACAAGTATGACGCAGCTGTAATGGCAGCGAGCGGCAGTTGGAATCAGCATGTTGAGCGTCGATGTGGCCACGATGGCAAAGCCGAACACTCTTAAAAACACAAAGGACAGTAACACTGGCATCAGAACATGAAAAAACCCCAATACATAGTAACACAGGATTGGCATTTTCTATGAATGCTGGTTCAGCTGCTTTGCCTCTTTCTGTTCCGATTCAAATTATTCTTTTTTCCCACACCTAGCATGTATGCAAATTCAACCAGATCTGACACCATAAATGTGGAGATATTAACCTGTTTGCTGCAAATTTTTGACATATAAAGCCACCCGGGATTTGTGTGACGATGTAGCCCCAGAAGAAGGAGCCGTGAATCATCCCCACTGTCTCTGGATCCCAGGTGAACTGTGCAGCCTGGAGAGAAGAAAAAAATTATATGACTTTAACTCACTTCACAACAGAGGAGATTATCTTGAAAACTTAAGGTCAAGGGCAACCCTGGTCCATCATCCCCAACCACAAAGCCCACGAGTTGGATGTCCCTGCTAAATACATTAAATAGAACCAATGGTTCAGTATCTTGCTCAAGGATACTTTGACGTGCAGACCTGAGTAGCTGGGGAATCGACTAACAACATTTCGATTGGTAGATGAACTGTTTTAACTCCTGAACCACAGCCAAGGCAAGGTGGCACAGAGCTGGCCTAGACTGCAGGACTTTAGAAAATTTGATATCACTACACAAAGTAAAGTTTGTTTATCAGCAGTGAAGATGATGCCAACATCAAAACACCTTTATAGAACTTTTCAGCTTTACTCCCCAGGTTAAAGCATGTCCTAGAATAGTCTAATACTCTAATACATGACACTACTTATTATGACTTATCAAGTCATTTAAAAAGTTACATAATTACAACATTTTATTATTCTCCAACCAATTACATTGTAAAAGGGATAGTATCACCACAACACACTGCATACTGTGATTAATATAAACCATTAGATATATTCCAATGAAGATTAAAGTGATCCCACAGAAAAAGACATAAGACAGTAACTTTGGTACTGTGAAAATACTGCATGTTACCTGTGTTCCAACACAATTATTGCAGATGTGGCTTAATATCAAATTCATAAAGTAGGTCAATAAAGGCACAGAAGTTTTCATTTCTCTTCTGCTACTCACCACAAGTACTTCCTTGTTGCCTTTGTAGACAGTATGATCATTGACCATGCTTACAATGGCCACACCTAGGTTGCACCTGATGCCAAAGGAGATGCAGAAGCCCAGGCCAGACAGGATGGCGATGATGTACCGCCGGGGCAGGCCGAAGCAGGTGCAGTCCACCACAGGCAGCTCCTTCTCCTCCACCAGCTCAGGACGACCCTCCGCCGACAGCTCAATAGTTTCTCCATTTGGCTGCCGTTTCTCAATCAGCCTGATGGGAGACAGCAGAATATGTGTTAGGCTTTTGGGGTAAAAGTGAACAAAAGGGTGCAAAAGACAAAATTCTGTGTATTATAATGTGCTGCAATAAAATCGATGCCACAGTGATCTTTACACCTAGCCTCACAGATGATCTGATCGAACAAATCAAAGTAAAACTGCAAAAAAAAAGCAGGAACACAAAAGTGTGAGCTTCCTTGAAAGGTTCAGTCTCCAGCTTCCATGCTGACATCACCCGGAGTTACCAGATTATTTTGAGCCTGTGACAAAGAGTTTGCATCTTTTCTTCATGCATGTTTTAAACTGCAAAGATTTTGCACTCTCTCTCTCTTTTTCCTCCTACAAACGCACTCCTCCAGGCTGACATCATGCTCCACACCGGGGTCACGCCTGACTCAGCGCGTCCCAGTGTGTGGAAGCAGCTGTCACAAGCCGGGGAGCTACGACAGCCGCGTAGTCTCTGCTTCAGGATCCAAGGAACCTACTGGTCCTCTCACTCTGATAGTGTCCTCACCACTAAATGCCTTCATTTTTTATGACATCATTCAGCCGACTCTGCTTAACAAATTAGCATTATGTTTAAAACTACAAAAGGAACTTTTGTAGAAAATCAGCTTTTAAGGAGTTACACTTTACCGAGCTGCAAAGACAGGGGTGCAAGTGTCTAAAATGTGTTTGTTTGTTTTTTAACCGCTTAAAATCCCATGGTTTTTGCCCATGTGAGGTGATCTGCTTGTTTTCCAGGCTATTGTTCAGTTTGTGTGACCATTTTTGTAAAACAACATGTCGAGCATCCCCCCAGACAGAAGTCATACAGAGAAGTCAGAGAGCAGCCATCTGTGTATTACAACCTCCATACTCACAACAAAAACACACACACTTCCATCAGATTTAAGTAAACAACACCTACAGATATACATTAGACAAAGTGTCACCATTTTTTTCAGTGAATGTATGTATCAGTGTTCACTGTCTGTTAAATTTGAGTTCGCAGCAGAGCGAATCATGTGTCAGCCATCCACTTTCCATTGAGGTGATCCAGTTAGCCAGTGAGCTGGAGAATCGTGCACAGAAAAAGGCACAATCAACACGGGGGTCAGGCTGGCGAGGTGACGATGGTTGTGTTTTAAAGAAAGCGTTTCATTGGAGTTCGGGGCTTAAACAAGGTTAGAAAGCAAGTGTGCAAAGTCAAGATAAGCCAGCCTCTGATGCTGATTAATTATTGACCTTCTTTTTTTTTTAGATAAATTATTTACTCCAGCTTTTACACCACAATCTGCCACCATTTATCCGTCTATCGTCATCCACCGCTGTCATTATATTTATTTTAGTTATGCGTGTGAATTCCACTCCCTCCCCCTTTTGCACACAGCACACTCTGTATAATCTCGATATGCATCCATGCAATCTGTCAAAAACAAACTAAAATGCAAGACAAGAAGACAGGTCAGTGCAATTAGGAGTATAATTAAAACTGCCCACATAAAGAAATATTCTACTCTTCAGTAGATAACAGAAAACACAATGGAAAGCAAAATTTTTGGAATTTGTGAGAGATTAGAGAGGCTGCATCCCATCTCTCTCCCTCCCTCTTAATCTGTCACTACACTAAGATTAGGATTACAAAAATGATTTACTTCCGGAAATGAATATGGATGGACAGACTGACTCTGCTGGGCACGATTCAGCACGTTTCTCCCTCTATCACGGCACGCTGTTGAGTTCATGCTGGTCATATTTTTTTAGTCCTCCTGTAACTCAGAAAGCCTTTTTCAGCTTTTGCGTCAAGCTGCAAAATTTCAGATTGTCCCTCACCTGTTAGTTAATGGTCTACATTTTTATAGAATGGCCCATCTAACTGACTTGGAAATGGGACCATCATGTGTTCATTGCTGATCTTTCACACAAAGCGTCCTGACCTAAGGACGTGATTTACAGTGTGTTTCCCAGTGGATCAAATACAAGAAATTAAAAAACTGCAACCAAATCCTGGAAGCACTGAAAAGGGCGACGCACGACAGAAGCAAAGTCGTGCACATAAATTTGTTGAATCAGTTGTTCACGCTCCTGCCGCTAAACAAATGTGCTGACTTGTCCCCCTGCGTGGAGCTCCTCCCTCATAGTTGGTGAAGGCTGCAGGAGAATCCTCATTAAACCTCAAGACAGATTGCAGCTTGACACCTACCCATATGCTAAGAGCTAACGAGGCTACCCCACAGCAAAAAATGGACGTTAATTACAGATGCTTTCCACTAAAAGGCAGCCTCACCCCCTGTGTTCGTGTACAAAGCTGAAGCGAGGGAATTTCAAGCTTAGAAACAAAGACTTAAAAATACTTATACACAAACTTCTTACTTCTTAACATGCTGACTGGTAAAATTTACCAGCTCTGCATTGAAGAAGAGACACAGGTTCACAATACTGCTTGCTTCCACTCATCTGATGGAGCTGATTGGTCTCAGCTGTCAACAATTAATGAGCAAGCGAGCATGAGCAGGCAGGAGTCCTGCGACCTGGGGCTCTCTGAAATATCATAATTACAATAGTAGCAGGCTCAGTGGAGGCACACGCTTCAAACCGAGCTCATGCTTTTCACCTAGACAAAAGAAGCAAAGTCCTAAAACCTGTTTAACCTCAGCGTGAAGACTTCAATACCTCCTGAGTTTAACTGGTGTAAGGTGTTACACAAATTTGATTATATATTAAAAGTATGTTATATGAAACTTCTTAAAACAATAAAAAAATAAAACACAGTTGTTGCTAAACTGTGAGTGTTTGCAACCACTCTTTGATTCTGTAATATTCTGTCAGCTTTGATAAAATCACAGCGACTCTCAGGTGACTCGGGGCCTTTATGAGACTCTGTATTAAAATCACCAATTCACAGAGTATTCGGTGTAATCCTCTCATATGAGGATGATCGAGACTGAGAGTGAGACAGCGAGGGAGTAAAAATATTATATAACACCAGACACCCTGGTCATTATTTTTCCATATTTGTGAGCTTAAATTGATTCTTGATTTTATTCCTTTTCTTTTCTTTTCTTTTTCTTCTTTTTTTTGCCTCATTTCAGCATTTTGGAGCACACAAAGTAGCTTAAAGATGAGATTTTTACTTTTTCTCCGAACACTTTGTAGTTTTAATAGTGATTTTGTTGTTGCCCCCCTCCTCTCCCATCCTTTGCGAGCCTCTCGCTCTCCCTGAAGTGAACAGATTGGGTCTCGGTGGGACTGTGTCACCCAGGGAGACACCCTCCTCCCCATCCTGTCACACCACTTTTTTCTCTCTCTCTCCTGCTGACACACACACACACAGACACACACGTTTAACAGTTACACGTGTGACCTTCATAGACGTATTATCTAAATACTTACACACTCAGTCGCAGTATGAGTGCTGTCTCCACACACACAACACTTCTCGGTACATTCACCAGAGAACAACAATTCAACAATGAGCTGCACGGGGTCGTAATATGATAATCGAACCACGTATTAGCTTACATTAAAATATTTCCTCACAAACTGAACAAGTGAAGCAGACACTAAATGCTGAAACCGACAGCATGGACAGCATCGCTGCCAAAAACCAGGCATGCTGAGTCGTTGCAGCTGACTCTCCAAAGTGGCACAGCTATTGTAGATGAATCTCTGGTCATCTGTGAAGACTGTTTCACAAACCTGTGCCCATGTTCCACACAAAACAACAGAGACAGATGAACGGATAAAAGATAAGAATAGGAAACACAGAAGTGTCTCAAATGTGGACTTGGTGTCTTGTAAGATTTTGCCTTTTGTGTTCAAGCTTGAACCACCTGCTTTTTTCCTTAGACATAGCTTTATCAAGACTAACAGGAAATCCAAAGACATCCTACATATGATACAAAAACTAACGCTAAATGCTGGGATTAAATGACTGCATGCTTTCCTCCCTGTGCTTCACCACAAGCAAACATATCAAATAATTATCTTTTCACTTCACCGTTATTTGAAATTTTTATTTAGAGCTTTTCTGCAATGACAGTGAACAGTAGTAGCTGAAAAATGCACTCCACTGCAAGTAAGATGGATTAAAAATGGATTACCTGTCATATTCTGTATTGCCTCACATGTAGTACAGCACAGCCTCTCATTGTGTAGCCAAGCAATCCTGCAGATGCATTTAAAAGTCTTTTAATAAATCGAAGCGAGGCATTTTTATGATAGCGTCTTTGGGGTACTATTAGAAACTTTTGCACACAATCCAAATTAAAACCAAGAAGCAGTTGTGTGATTATATTTCATGCAGAGCTATGAGAATAGCCAGATTTGGGAGATCCATCTGAAAACGTTATAAAAGAGCAAATAATGTAAGCAGAGATGTGGAGTGACCTTACAGCGCTGAAGTTTGTGCTTACCTAGTGGAGTTTAATATAGAAACAGGAGATGCATTCTGATGGAGAAAATGTTTAAATAATAGATGAACTCCTGGCTGCTTTCATCAGGAGGGATCACAGTTTTGTCTGTGAGGTGGTGAGATTGCACGCAGACACACTCGTCTGCTTACACAGTGCAGGGATGCCCAAGTTTCACCACGCATTCACACACGTACAGCTTTATATACACACACACGCATACACAAAACCATAACACACTGCTCTCTTATTCTTTGGCTGCACTTGACACATGCAACCGCATAAAACCACGAGGTCACGCTAAGCTGAGGAAACGCCCACTAAAGTCAACCTGAATCCAATCCAACACATCACATCTCTCATGGAATCAGCTGTGGCGGTGATGCGCATGTGTGGAACAGTAAGAGACAAACGAGACAGGCATGTGTGTGTTGATTTAAGAGACCCCAGTAGGCTGAAAGCTGCTGGTGTCTCAATGGATGGAGGATGAGGAAGAAGGTGGAGGAAGGAGGAGGCAGTGGCTGGAGGAAGTGACATGGCTTGCATGGGATGGAATGAGTGGGAGGGGAGAGTTTAGGGATTTGCATGGCTCGACAGCTGGACTGCAAAAACAGGCTATTTCAGGACAGGATTTATACGTTTGGTTGCTACCTCAAATCCTGGGAGAGCCAAAGCTTAAAGCAATGGTTATTGCACGAGGTTCTATGATTGTATTTAATCTGCCTTTTTTTATTTATTTATTTTTTAAACCAAAATATTGTCAGTACATCAATCTGTATAGCAACTTTCACACTCATGTGTACTTTATTTACACATATGCAGCACTTTGAAATGTTCATAATCAGAGAGGATTATGAAACTTTCTTTTCTTTTTTTTAAAAATAAGTACCTGCATGCACCTCCAAAGACATAAACTATGTACCATACAGGCTGCAGCAGTGACATAGTTGTCTTTTTTATATCGACCTTTCTTATTTATTGGTGCAACTAACAATTATTTTCAGTCTCAATTAACCTACATATAATTTTCTTAATTGATGGCAACAACCAATAATCATTTGGTTTGTATTGTCAGGTAGGAAAAAAATAGATGGGGAAAAACACAGTTTCAAGGAAACGTGTCCACAAGGTTTTGTGTGTTTTATCACGCAGGTGATTATTAAAATAACAGTTTATATGTCTGTCACTCAAAACTCAAAACTCAGCCTGAAATATTAAAAAGCTTTAGAAATTCACACAAATTCAGTCGTTTCTATTCATTTCATTAATTTAGTATAATCCAAAACACGTTTTCATAACAATAAAAATGAAATCCTTCTTTCGCTTTAAGACGATCAAACAAACAAAAAACTGCAAATCATTTTTTAAGTCACATTATTTAAAAGAAAAAAAAAAAACATACGGCAAAAACAATTTGGAGCGCAAGAAATGTAATTTATACCGGGAAACTAACGATTTAAACTTTCCGGTTTTATCTGGCCAGCGCTTTCATTCAGCCAGGTCGTGCCAATAACGCACGGAAACATTATGTAACCAGACTTTCTTCTTCTCTCCAACACCACTTTGAGCCGGATCGAATCTCACAACATCGAACAAAAGCGCAAACAATAAAAAAGCATAAATGCAATAAAGCATCAAACCACAAAGAAAGAAAGAACAAACACTCGTTTTCTCTCACTAATAACTTCTGTAACACCATGGAGTACCCGTTATGGGCTTCTGTTACAGCGACGACACTGTATCATGTTTTTTCCTCCTAATAAACCAAATTATTCAAAATATTATGGATTCCATCCATTATAAAACACTTCTCCTCTCACTTGTGACAATCAAAACTCCCTACTGCGCAAACGCGGACTTCTGTCGCTATTTTTTTGTGAAGGGTTAAACCCAACACATTCCTCTACAATTAAAATAAATAAAGAACCAACTTTTTTAGTGTTAAAAATTACTGCTTGGAGGAGAGAGAGATGACGGATGCACCAACAGCACCGCCACCAACAGCACTGATCTGTGTTGCAAGAAAAAAGGCGTAAAAACGCGCACAAATCCGGGGTGAGTTGAGAACATTTGAAATATCAGTGTACCTGTGAATTTTCCCCAAAGTTTTGCCCGCGACCGCCTTAAACCTGTCTGGTCGGATCTCCATCTTTGCAGCTCCTTGACCCGGCCGGTGTGCTGATGTCCCGCGCGCCCTCCTGTCCTGCCCGAGCGCGCGTCTCTCTCTCTCGCTCTCTCTCTCTCTCTCTCTCTCTCTATCGAGCACAAATCCCTCCTTCACTGCACTGCCCCCTCCGCTCCGACAGGTGTAGGCCTTTCAGGCTCCGGGCTTCCTTGTAAAGGGATCAAAGCCTCTGGTCGATATGGACTCTCGAGTTGGGTAAGATTTCGTTTATGCTTATTCCAAACAGTAGATATACTCACTGTTGCCCTTAGCGATAGTGCAGGAAAACATGAATAAATAAGATGGTGGAATATGATGTCTTCTCTGTTTTGTGTGTGTGGTGTAAAAAAAAGTAGCAGGGCTGATACTTCAGTACTCTTTCAGCAGGTTTCTCACACGTGGATTAAGTTCCTTGTCCCAAAATCTATGAAAATCTGAATTCATGTTCATCTGGGGTGTTTGTCACCGCCACAGGGAGACACTGAAGATGGACCCTCAAGCTCAAGAACCCTTGATTAAGACAAGGCTGAATCCATGTCCAGGAGAAATGACACCTAGCATGTTAACATATGAAATACCTCTTCTGATCTTTCTCTGTTTTTAATTTGTCTGTATGCTCAGGATATTGTTGTGTTCACCATGAAGTCAGTTTATAACACTGATCGATCCACAATTAAGTGCGTTTGTGTTGCATATATGTTCATATATGAAGTATAGATAGATTTGTAAATTTTAATATAATATTTAACATTTCAAGGTTAAAGGGCAAAAAAATGTTACTAAGAAGGCGTGCAAAATATTTGTGTATTGGCCCTATTAAAAACCTAAACAAAAGTGCTTGTATGAATGAGGCAAGTTGTGTAAAGTGCTTTGAGTACTCAGAGTAAAAAAGTGCTATATAAGAACCAGTCCATTTACAACCCACCCATGTTTAGGTATTCTTTTCTTGACCAAAATACAAATGAATGTTTGTGGATCATAGTAGAGCAGAGAATCAGGCTGCTGCCACCTAGAGGTTTATTAAAATACAGTAAAAATACTACTACACTGCACATTTTTGTGAACACATGTAAAAACATTGCTGTGCTCTTATGAGGTAAAATGATAGAAATACAAAAGTAACCAAAACCAAAAAAAGAAAAAAAAAATCCTGTTACATTTCAAAACCAGCCTAAATCATTACAGAAATATTCAAACACACACACACACACACACACACACACACACACATACACACACACACACACACACACACACACACACACACACACACCACAGTTACTCAAGGCAGAATGTTTTCATGCAAATACATATTAGTCCTTCAGCTAAAAAAGATCCCATAAGCATTTTTATGAGCTGCTGCATTCACCAGACATGAAAGTAGTGACTGTCACCAGCATGTTGCATACATTTCCTACTTTAAATCCTTTCAAAAACACAACTGTTTGTTTTATTGTTTATGTACAACTGTTTCTATCTTCTGAACAGCAAAGCTGGTTCAGAAAACAAATATAGGGAGGCACTAGGAGGATGATACAATATAAATACATAGTTAAAACAACTTTTCAAAGGTTTACTGAATATAAAGACATAAAATCCAAGGATAACGCTGTTCATTGCTCCGCTTGCTTTAGTTTTTTGTCTTTGTACTTTTCTTTCTATTTGAATTTTGTCCTTTCTCAAACAACTTCCTTCTGACCACCATGCTCACATCCCCGTGTCTTGTTCCTCCTCGTCCTCCTCCTGGGAAAGGAGCCGGTAATGTTCGTTGCCCACCGACAGGAAGGCAGGCCTGGGATGAACCTCGTCTTCCCTGAAGTGGACAGGATGGAAATGGGACTCTGGCTGCTCGGTAGAGCTGCACTTTGTGTACAACTCACGACGCATTTCCTGGCCGACTTCAACCTGGGAGGGAGTGCCACGGACCCAGCGGTTCTTCACTAAGGAATAGATGTAGCTGACAGGTACAGGCAAGCTGGCAAATACTACAAGCATGATGATCATAGCCAGGGCCCAGCCAGGGTACTCGAGAGTCATCTCAGAAGCCTGAAGAGGCAGAGACACAGAGCTTAAGAGTGACAAACACTGGCAGAATTACCTTTGGCTGTTAGATAAATATTTACTTGTGGGATTAAAAGGAGCTATATGATCAGTTCAGGATTCCTAAGGTCAATGTTATTGTCTGGCCAAGTGAATCTCCTAATATCAGTATAAATTAACCACTTTCCATTTGTTGAGCATCACAATAAAGGAAATGCGAATCCAAAACATTGAGATGGTGGTTGCACTGGAGGTCTGTGAGATCATCAGAGTTGATACAAAAAAAGTTTCTTTTCTACTTTTTTGGACACTGTGCATTCATATATGCACTATATGCATGTGTTACACACATGCATATAGTGTGTACTGTGGGTCAGGAGGTTGTCTACTGAAGTGGAGTGGGATGTTTGATCCCAGATTGTCCAGTCTTCAGGACAAATACAATGAATTCTGACTTTCTCCTGATGTATTCATCAGAATGAGTGTGAGTGTTTGGGTGAATAAGGCTTGTGTTAAAAATCACAGTGAGTGCTCAGAGTAGAAAAGAGCTATGCAAGCACCACCTGATATTTTAAAACAGTAATTGGCTATTTGAAGTTTAAAATCATGTGATTTGATGGAAAATTGAAGTCGAACATCTCACCGTGCTTTGATTCCAGGCGGTGTACGTGGGCCCTTTGAAGACCATGCGGAGCAAACTGGCTGCCAGAAGACTGACCATCGCCAGCAAACACACATATTTCCAAAGGTACTTGTACACCACCGGAGGGCGCCATTTGAGCATTACTTCAATATCATCCAGAAAGCTGCAATAATCAAAATGCTTTTCTTAAAATGCATCTTTTCAAACCAACATATAAAAACAAAAAAACCTGTGAAAGTCAGAGATAACGTTGCTTACCGATCTGTTCCATAAACCCACGCCACACTAATGGTTTCAAAAATGACCACAATGACCAAAGGCAGGGTTGCAGAGTAGTCATCAAACATGGTCACAAAATAGTTGCCAGAACGCTGAGTGAACAGTAATCCAATAATGAACCCCAAAGCACAGCTGGACACTAAAAGACAGAAAACATTTAAAGACGACTTCAAAAACAACAAGACTACATTTATCCCACATAGTACACCACTGCAGTACGAGAATCTTTTTATGTAGTTTTATTTAAGAAAAAAATAACAATAAAATACAGCAGCAGAGTCTGAACACATGTCAACTGATGTTCAGTACCCGTGAGTAGGGTTCGGTGACGCCCCAAGAGGCTGAAATTGTCCATGAGAGGTGTGAGGATTCCCTGCATTGTTCCAAACATGGTGCTGAGGCCCAGGTTGAGCAGCATGAGGAAAAACAGGGTGGACCAGAAGGGACTGGCTGGGAAGAAGGCCATCACCTCAGTGAATGCTATGAATGCCAGGCCTGTCCCTTCGACACCCTAAACGCACACAAGTAAGATAGTAAGATAGTGGAAATACGTGGGAAAAAGCAGATCCACTCAGTCTAACAGACAACAAATGTGTGTTAACTGTGATGCTGTTTATAGAGCTAACCTATACCAGTAAATTACCTGCGCACCTTTTGCATAACATGCTCTTTAACACAGAGAATAGGTCTTTTCTTTTTAAATAAAATAAACAGCGTGAGATAACATGACTCTTTGTACGTCTTGTCCTGTTTCTTTAGTATCTCCTTTCTTTCCACGATCACAGCTTGCTTTCATTTTTCCTAGAAAACCAGCAAGATACAATTTCCAATACATTTTCATCGTCTTGCCTGCTGGATATTTTATAGCACCTCCTAGATTCTTCGTAGGTCCTGGGAACATCGGCGCTCGCCTACATACAAGTGTTACTGAAATGTTCAACTTTGATTTTTGTAACCGATCCAGTATCTTGTGCCTCGTAGGACACCTGCAGTTCTTTCATTTATACAAAGTTGTCTTTAAAACACTTTGTAATCCTGGATGAGTGAAGCAGCACATTAGAAACTCGGTTTAATACCAGTGACTGCTCTTTATTATTGGACATACCTCTTCCTATAATGTATTATAATACAGAACATATATACATAAGAAATCTCAGCTGTTGTCCTAATTTTCACGCATGCTTATAGATGTGTATTCCCATCTTGTTACCGTTTACACGCTACTTGTTCCAGTTTCTTAGATCCCTTAAACTACTGCAAAAGACTACTGTTTTTTTGTTTGTTTTTTTACCTTTGACATGTTGACGTTTTAAACTTTGTGCCTCAAGTCGCTTGTTTTTAATCATGTTGTGAAGCAAAGCTGTTGTTATTAATATCTCAAGATTACCTTATTCATCTCCTGCTCCAGACTGCAGTCAGTGACTTTAGGATCCACCATGTAGCTGTAGAGATGGTACCACTCTCTGTATTCAGCTAAAGTCACAGTGTTTACATCTGTCATGTTGAACCATGGCCACCAGTGCTGGTTAGATCCACTGGACGCCAATGAGTTTAATACACTGAGATTTCTGAAAAGGTTAAACACAAAAATAATAAATAAATCTAAGATAAGCAATCAAACAAGCAAACAAGATTGTTACGGCAGTTTGCCAATCTAAAAGTGCTCGCTAGTTGGATTTGAATTACCATTTCAATCACGCATAGACATACGTACTCAGCCACGCAACGTAGTGCAATGTTCTTGGCACGGAAACCGAGCACGATGAAAACCACTAGAGAGGCCAGCACGGATGTCATGAAGTTGATGCAGGAGACCATCAGAGCATCCCTGTGGCAGTTGTTGTTGACTGGATTGTAGGAGGAGTACGCGATAACAGAACCATAGCCCAGGCCCAGGGCGAAAAACACTTGTGTAGCAGCCTGTCGCCACACCTGCACGTTACCCCAGATCTCCAGCTGCAAATATGACAAAATAAAAGCATCTTTAGGTTTACATTCCTTTGTCAAAGCTTAAAATGTTTTATTATGGGTTTTTTTGGTAATCACTGAGGTGTTTGTCTTTTGTTAGTTAAATGA